TTCCAAGAACAGGCCTTTTCTAACAGAATCGTGAATACGTCCAGAAAACAAAAAATGCACACGTCAATGTCTTGGTATTTCTCTCAAAAAATTCCCCAGCTGTGGGGAATTTCTGCCTTCGCAGCAGCACTCGGTCTGCTCACCCAGGGCACAGCCAGCGCCGCATTACAGCGGGCACGGGAAAAGTGCTGCTTCCAGGGGCTGTTCTCCTACATCTGCAGCGCGTTGCCCCAGTACTTACAGAGAGGTGCTGGGTGCTACAGAGGAGTCAAGGTTCATCTCGGACTGCAGCTCCCATCCCGGCTGCCCTGGCATCGGTGCCCAGCTCCGCATGGCACTTTCCATCGGGGGCTCCCGAAGCCCTTCGTAAGGGAGGTCTGCTGCAACTTTTTTACAGAGCAGGAACCTGAAACATGAAAGTTATTTGCTCTGCTGGCAGGGGACTGGCCAACAGGGCAACGAAGCTGCAGCCCAGGGCTCTGCCCACAACACAGATGAGTACCCAGTGGAAACCACAGTATCCTGGTGAAAAGGCCACAGCACTCCTCGAGAGACCAACAGGTAAATAACCCAAAGGCAGGCTCTACATCCACACTGAGCAAGGCAGCAAGCCTACAGGATTCAGCAGTAAGTACGAATGCAGAGGGGAACGGGTTCGCAAACAGCTGCTGGAAGGGGAGGGATCATGTAGCTAACGTACTAGAATGAGGACATACTATGAGGAGCTACTGGAGAGAGTCCAGCGGAGGGCTCTGAGGATGGTGAGGGGACTGGAGCATCTCCCCTACGAGGACAGGCTGAGGGAGCTGGGCTTGTGCAGCCTGAAGAAGAGAAGGCTGAGAGGGGACCTTAGAAATGCTTATAAATATCTGAAGGGTGGGTGTCAGGAGGATGGGGCCAGACTCTTTCCAGTGGTGCCCAGTGACAGGACAAGGGGCAATGGGCACAAACTGAGGCACCGGAAGTTCCGTCTGAACATGAGGAAGAACTTCTTCCCTCTGAGGGTGACGGAGCACTGGAACAGGCTGCCCAGGGAGGTTGTGGAATCTCCTTCTCTGGAGATATTCAAGACCCACCTGGACGCGGT